AATTTTAAGAAATTCCTTCTTATTACATATATTTAGGTTTTAAAGATCTATTTAAGGAAGCATATCAAGTAAATAATAGTTATTTTGGCTTAAAGATAGAGCTCCCAAGGATGATGATAGGTGTCAAATAGAGGGGTCGGGAAACCAGCTCTCTGATAAAACCAGAAGCTTTGTATTATGGTTTCCCAGACAACTTGGGCAGAGAGCCTTGGGAAGCGTCTAACTCACCCCTGGGCTCGCCCAAAGTCAAGGCTGCTGCTACTCTGGACCCAGAACCCAGAGATTCCGGATCACCCACACCCCCAGCAGCCCCCAGATCTAATCTACACCTGCGTTCCTGACCCTTCCCTGAGTCCGGAATTCTCTGTAAGGAGTCCTAGCCCCTGGGTCCTTAGGGTGAATCTTTGCCTCCTGAACTGCCACCTGGTGGCCATAGCTGAGAACAACATCTCAGCCCATCTCTGTTCAGAAAAATCTGTGCAGGCACTTGGCAGAGTCCCAATGATGGGTCTTGGGGTGGGAGGGTGAATATGCCCTCCACAGCTTGCCTGGGAAAGCGCCCTCTGCAGCCTCTGTCCTCTCACAAGGGCTCATATTCACTCACTCATTCATTCATTCAACAGATACTGATTGCCCACTCTATGCTAAGGCACCAGTGGCAAGAACCAGGCAGATACACTCTCTGACCTCGTGGAGTTCTCAATAGAGATGGGGAGAGCATAGAAATAGGAGTAAATATCTAAATTATGGCAGTTGGTGTCCTGACCGGTTTGGCTCAGTGGATAGAGCGTTAGCTTGCAGACTGAAGGGTCCCGGGTTCGATTCCAGTCAAGGGCATGTACCTTGGTTGCGGGCACATCCCCAGTGGGGGATGTGCAGGAGGCAGCTGATCGATGTTTCTCTCATCGATGTTTCTAAACTTTCTATCCCTCTCCCTTCCTCTCTGTAAAAAATCAATAAAATATATTTTTTTAAAATAAATTTTGGCAGGTGGTAAATGGTGCTGTGAAGAACAAACGCAGAACAAAGGGATGGGAAGTGTGTGCCACAGGGGTGGTAGCGGCAGGCCTCAGGGAGACATGACATTGAGCAGGGATGTGAATCAGGTGAGGAGGACCGCGCAGGGAGGAGAGGCTTTCCCGGCAGAGTAAAGGCCCTAACGGGGATCCTGATGCAGTGATCCAGTTGCTGTTGCTAAGTAACAAACTGCCCTAAAACTTAGCAGCTTAACCAAACCATTTACATTTTGCTCACAATTTTGTGGGTCAGGAATTGGGGAAGGGGCTCAGTTGGGTGCTTCCCACTAGGGGCCTCCTGCTCATCTGAAGGGCCGCTGGGCCTCGTGATCTGGAGGCTGGCCCCACTGGCTTTCCTTGAGGCTCCCTTTCACATGGAGCTCAGTGGGCGGGGGACCTAAGTGCCTGGGGTTGGCTTGCAGTGCCTGCCTGCCTCTCTTTACTCCTTACTAGTTTTAAGTTTTTATTTATTTGGTTTATCCAAGGATTAAACTTTAAGAACACCAGAGGTTTGTTTTTCTTTTTAATTGAGGGGCTATTCACATAACAAAGTGAATCACTTTAAAGTGTGCAATTCAGTGGCATTTAGTACATTGACAATGTTGGAAAACACCAAAGAGTCTTTCCCTCCCATCCTCACCAGTTCCTGTGTATCCCTCAGAGATTTTAATTTCCTTAAAATTTCTTTCTTTTACATTTAGTCCTACATACATTACTGTGTTCCTTGCTTTTTTGATAGTGGCAACAATGAGAAAAATAACAATATTTTATTCTTATCTGGTGCTTATTCTGTGCCAGGCACTATTCCAAGATCTTCACATGTATTATCTCATTTAATCCTCAGATGCCTCTCATGAAGCAGGAATTGTTACTGCTTTTGGTTTACAGATGAGGAATCTGAGGCACAGACAGGCTAAGTAACTTACCCAAGTGCACACAAGCGAGTAAGTGGTGTGGCCAGGGTTTGAACTTCCTTGTTGGCCGTATTTAACATCTGTGAGATCCTCATTCTTAGAAATAGCTTCTACAATTAAAAAAAAATAAACTCTTCATTTGGGGACACATAGTTTAACATGAAGTTGTTGGAAAGAAAACAGAGAGATCCCATGTGCCCTGTTCCCCCAGTGATAACCTCTTGCAGACCATATAGTGCAGTGTCACAGCCAGGTCATTGGCATTGACAGAACCCACTCATCTTATTCAATACAATGCTTAAATTTTTAACATTGGTTGCAAACATTTCAAAGTCAGGAGATTTCACAAAAACGGTTAGAGTTTTGGCTTCTCTTGAGCCATCAGATGAAGAAACCTCTTCCAGAAGCAAGTCCTGAGGGGAGGTTTCAGGACAGCTCATTAGTCTGGTCAGGGAGTGGGGTGTGGGGTGGGGAAGGGAAAGCCACCATGCAAGGGTGTGGTACTGGGAGCAAGGAGGGGGGCAACTCAGCCCAGTCCTGCTGGGAGACTGGGGACAGTGCAGAACACTCCCCAGATTTATTTTCCACCCACTTACACACCCCGGGGAGAGCCGGGGGAGCTGGGGTGTTTATCCAGTAATGTCCCCTCTCTCCTGTCGCTTCTCTAGCCCTTCCAGCCCACCTCTGAGCTGGATGAACATGCCCTAAGCCACCAGAAGCAGCCCTCCAGCTGAGAGGCAGGTGCTGGCCGTGTGTGCCATGCATGCCCTGAGGGGTGGAGGGGTGGGGTGGGAGGCAGTGTCTACAAAAGAGCTGCTGCTTCCAGGACAGCAACAGTGCCTGGTGCTCAGTCAGTCCTGCTCAGTCAGTGCTGCACGAAAGATAGAGCGAATGGATGAAAATGCTTGCTGGCTCTACCAAGCAGCCTGAGGACCACAACAACAGCCTGCTCACCCTGCCAGCCAGAGCCAGGTCTTTGAGTTCCGAGGGTTTAAGTCCTAGCTCCACCCATGACTAGCTGGGTGGCCTTGGGCAAGTCCCACCACCTCTCTAGACCTCAGTTTCCACATCCATTAAATGGGACAGCGAAGCCCACAGGCCCTGAGAGTGGAAGCGAACTGGCTGTGAGCTGGCTCACCTGTGTGCTCAGAGAGCTGTTGTTCTTTTAACCTTTCAGTGTAGGCTCTGCGCTGGGCGCTTGCATAACCATCGGTGACTCCGGCCGCCTGAGTGGTTAATTACCACCCACTTGCGTAGGTTGGGACACGTCCCAAGGCCACGGGGCTGGTCAGGAGCTGAGCTGGATTCACAGGACCACCAGGATTAGACGGCAGTCACTTCCTGGCTGTGTGAGTGAGACTGGGCCTCAGTTTCCCACCCATAGCACAGCGCTAAGGAGGAGCACTTTCTCACAGTCGTCAGTGGGACTGGGGATGGGGACCATTCCCTGGCAGGCCCTTCACACAGAGCTTTGAGAAGGGGTGAAGCAGCGTGCACTGGAACGGAAGCCGAGGAGGGTGCACCTGCTGTTGGGTGGGCTCCTGCCAGGTTTGTCACCGCCCCCCCCCATGCACACACGCACACACACACACACACACACACACACGTGGCAGGGAGAAGGGGTAAAAAGGGCACTATCTACTTTCTACACAGACCCCTCACTCGGTGCAAGGTTCAATATCAGATGGCTCCCCATCATCAAGACACAAACCCCAACATCGCCTTCCTGGTGTGACTCCCATTAGAGTCCCACCAGCCCCCAAAGTCATATCCTAAAATCACAACCCACTCAAGCCCCATTGACTGAACCCCCCCTCAGCCATCTCCCTGTATGAAGCCTGCCTCTCCCTAGACCACTGCCGCTCCCCCCTCAAGTCAGCCTCGTGGCCGGTGACTCTATGACCTACCTACCCATGGCTCCTTCCATAGGCCCGGGGCCCAATGAGGGGCTGGAGGAGGTGGCTCTGGGGCTGGAGGTTCCCTCCCAGCTGGACCTTGACTGCCCAGTCTCTCCCTGGTCTCTCCACAGAACCAGCCTCCTCCCCAGCTCAGCAGACATGTCTAGCCTCCAGGAGCTGTGCTCTGGCCTGCCCCTGCGGCCCCTCCCAGAGAACCGGGGACGTTGGGCTGGGGTACCCCATGCCCCAGTCAGGACCCCTGGCCTCAGCCCTGCCGAGGAGCAGGTAAGAAGTTGAGCCCCATTCCTGTTGGGACTCTTTTCCCTCTGGGGGGGCGGGCGGGGCTTGGAGGGGGTATCCCCTACTTCCTCCTCTCTCTGCCTGGGGTCTCCAGGAGCTTCCAGTGGGGGTGGCAGTGGGGTGGGGGGACCCATGCGTGGTCGGCTCCAAAGCACTCTATATCCCTCATTCTCTCCCCAACGGCCACCCTTGGGTGTGGGATTATGCTCCCCATTTACAAGGACCCCGAGGCTCAAGGCCAGCCAGCCAGTAAGGGATGGTGCTGTGCCTGCCTCCATCCAAGGAGGATGGGGCCATTGTGCAGTGTCCCAAACGCACGGCAGCTGACTATGTACCTTCCCGACCCAGACACGCACGTAACTTCGACGTTCTCCTCTGTAGTAGGTCAGCTCTTGTTTTATGTGGGGACTCCCTCCCCCCAAATCTTCAGATGAGTTTTCAGCTTCCTGGCTGGAACCCTAGTGAAGGCGTGTGGGAGTAGGGGAATGCTGCGGGGGTCCTGGTATGAGCAGGTGGGGAGGCCAGGCACCCCTGCTAGGCCTCCCACAGTCCCTCGAGCCAGCACCTCAGGCAAGTCACTGAGTGTCTGGGAGCCTGCTTATCTCCTCTGTAAGCTGAGGGTGAAAATAATTACACCACAGGGGGTGGAGGAGGCCAGCTGACATCAAATACACGGTTGTGTAAATAGTTTTCTCCTATGTTTTCTTTACTCGAGAACTTTAGGAACACTCGGGGGGAAAGTAGAAAATATTAAGCACGAAAATAAAGAGAGGAACCACACCACCCCATTGGGGATCAGGACTGCTATCCTTAGGGGGGCTGCCCCTACACTTCCTGCCAAGTGGCCCCCACAGAGGAGGAAACAGGGCGGTGAGGAAGGTGCGGGTGGTCTGGGGCTGGGCACTGAGGGCCAGGCTGGGAGGACAGGTGTTGGGGAAGGGTGGGGGCGGGGAGCTCCGCCCC